CGATGTATACCCTGCTATATACAAATCAAATAAAGAAATGATGTTTACCTACAAAAAAAAAAAAAAAAAAAAAACTATTAAAAAACATATATTTAAATTTTAAAATTATTTAAATAAGAATTTTGCTCACCACAGTATCTAAAGAAAATAGAATTTATAGTATAGCAATAATATTTGATACAAAACTTGTATAATATTATGTTTGATTAAACCTTAGGAAGTTTAGTAATTAGACAGTAATTTTTGTAACATAGAATCTTAAATAATTAATTAAATAAAGATCTACATCAGCGGGTATAAAAAAAGGATTAATGTTTATAGCAACATATTTGAATATATTATTATTGTGAAAATTTATTTTTTAATTATAAAATTTAAATAGCAATTAATAAAAATTATAATTTGAAAAGGTATTTTGCAAAAAATATATATACTTTTTTTATTAAAATACAAAGTATAAAAGAAAGAATATTAGATTAAAAATTTCAAAATCTATCGAACATCAAAAGTTTAAAGATGAAGTCTTTGTTGAGATCGGGGCGATTCTCGCTCCAGGAGGAATGTGAAACGCACGCGTTTCTAAATCATGACGATAGAAACTCCGTTTTTATAGTAATTGGGAATCGAGTTTTATTATAGTCGGCCCCGATTACGTAAAACGATTAATAGGAAGATACTTAACTCAGCCAGCCTCAGAATCTGATAATTCCGAGGAGCAGGTGTCCCTAAGTAAATAATTCAGTTACTTCATTCATTAAAAAATTATGTTTTTCACTGGAGAATATTTATTTAAAAAATTATAAATATATTTAAATATTAGTTATTATCTAGCAATATCCCACTCATTATTAACCTTCATTGTTGAATAGCTTGTAAAACGTCCTCAGTACCTCTTATCGAATAAATGATATGTCCATTTATCATACATTTATTTAATAAAGGTACCACAACTTTTTTTCCTATATTCTTACTGAAATACTCATAAATAGGAGCTTCTAGATTGTACACAGCACTTTTGATATCATCATAGTCAGCATTTGCAAAAAACCAAATTAAATTAGAAACGACATTTTCGTTGTTTTCATACTCAATATCTTCCTCTACCTCTACTTCATAGGGAGAATTTGCCTCATAATCGTTCATTTCATGTTCGTAATAATGGAGTTTTCGTATTGATTTAATTGTTAATTGAGGTGTTTTCATATTTTCATTTATTCCAAATGGGTAAGATTTGAATTTTACAGTTGATCTAATTGTCGTAAAGTACCATTTAGTATCTGTTGTTCCGGAACCAACTAAGTTGTTTGAATGCATCGCATATACGGAGCTATCATCTGCAGAACAAATGGCTGTAATATTCCCACCCAATACTTGTTCAAATCTAAAATATTGTTTAGTATCATCCGAATTTTGAGGTTTTATTTGAAAGGAATTTTGAGATTGAATCCAAGTGACGCACATTTCCGTTCCATTGGGTCCGGGTATGTATTTAGCAATTAAGTACGCGCTAGATGTATTAGTGCCGATTAGCTTCCACAGTTGGTTTGGATCGTTTTTTTCTTTATTCTTGAGAGTGATGCAATTATTGCTATCCGATGTCCAATAAAGGTTCGTTCCACCATTTTCTTTAATATTAAATGGAATAAAAGGAGTAAGGAAACCCCTGAAAAAGATTATAAAAAAATTAGTTATATAATTACGAAAGAATTTGTAAGAAAAGAATATTTCCTTACTCCATGTTGTGAATTATTCAAATCTAACGTATTTTGAGGAATTGAGAGAAGTCCTTTAAGTTTGAGGGATTCAGTACAAGTGTAACGTTGATGATCACCCAAAACCAATACATATAAATATAGTAGTTTTTAATTGCTACTAATCTGAGAGAAAAAATTTTTCATTAATACATCTTTGTTCTCAATAAATTTTTACTACTTCAACTTTACATGTAGTTCTAAAACTAAATTTAAATTTTTAAAAAAATTTGTATATATAATTCATTTTTAATAAAAACTTAGTAACAAATATTGGCTTTTATATAAATTTTAATATTTTTTATACTTTAATATTATTATATATCAATTTTGAATTTTTTAAATATATAGAAAATTAAAAAATTATTATTTATAAACATTTATTTTTTTATTATTGATTTTTTTAAAAAAATAATAATCATATTTTAAACTTAAAAATATTAAGTTTAAATATTTATTAAAATAATCTTTTTCATTAAAAATTGAATAAATTGTATTTTACTTAGTTTTTGATTATATAAAAATTTTATATTCTTTTTTTTTATAATCTCTCTTTTGTATTTATTTTTTTATTTATTATTTATTTTTTTTTTTCCTCTTTATTTCAAAAAATAAATCGGTATATTCAAAAAAAATCTATAGAAAGTGTAGAAACCAACACCAAATTCAGACCAAAA